TGGCAAGTATGCGGAGGTGCGAAAAAGCAATCATAAGGTCATCTCAAACTATATCACCGCTCCCATTGTCTACTGTCGCTATTTACGGCATAGAAAGATCGCCGTCAGCGGGCACGATGTCAGACCCCACCCACCAGCGTGGCGAATTAAGAATGTATTGTCACATACCCCTAGGTCCCAGCTCCTTGTATAAGGTTCCACATACTTTTGCAAGGAGTTTCATTCAGAGATTGCAGTTTTAGTTGCATTAAAGACAGTCGACGCGCTCGCTAGGAGACAGGGCTTACATTCTAAGGTTTTTGGTGGAAGAAAGTTGCGCTACGGGAGTCTGGCTTAGTGCCTTACCACCCATTGCCTTAGACGAAGAACGCCTCCTAGACAATGCGCCCTCGTCGTGTGGCCTTTGAGTTATTCAACTGTGTCGAGAAGAGTACAACTGCCGCTAGGGCCGCGTTGAAGGGCTGCAGACGGTTGGAGGATATCCGCAGTTGCCAGAGGTTACCGCACTACTGTACGCATCAAGCATCCATCAAACACTCTGGCTTTTTTCTCGATTGATTATTTGTATAGCGGCTGCGTTCATACTTCGCGACTCGAGCCACTTGGTCGCGCGATTCCCTGCTCACTGCGGCTGAACGCGCTAATCGTTAATGGATGGACCGCCACATCTGTTAATTTTTTATCAAGATGAAACCTATTTCGAAGTTTGCAGCAGTCCAAGCCAGCAGTGGAGTGCGGTCAGTCGCAGTCGCGCGACTGAATCGTCTGAATCACCAAGTGTGAACGCGGCCTAATTGTCCCATTTCTGATGAAGGAATGTTCTGCCTTCACACAAAATCTATTTACAGTTAGGGCACCCACAGTACAGCTCTGTCTGCACTGTGGGTGCCCTAACTGTAAATAGCAGTGACAGATTGTAGCAGTTCTCAGAAATCTTTGTCGAGCAGTAGTCCGCGACGCAACCGCGTTGTGCCTCATTTCGCGGGCTGAGATCCTCAGCTTTCCGTTATTGTCACACTGTTTGGATCGTAATTTTTGAAGGTCTCATAGAGATAATTCTCAACTAGTTCTTACCTTCCTATTGTCAGAGCTGGGCCAGGTGTATCGGATCTGGACGTGGCAGAAGACCCACCATGGAATGGCAAGGTATTCGCAACGGTGATCAATGAAATGGTGCAGTTTAATATTTGGTGAGGAAAAGACCTGTTGTTGTTTGCCGTTTTTCATTCGTTGGTGATGTTCAAAAGTGTGATGGTTGAGTTATTTCATTCAGAGATCTGAGATGTTGGAATTGGTTGTAAGGTTATTCTGATCGGGTTTGGATGATTATGCAGAAGTGTTGGTGACGTACTGACGTCAGATTCGCTTATCAGCTGCTGGTCGACGCGACTCAGGGACAGCCGGATACTGGGATAACACCGGTTCCTAGTGCGAGGATGAGAGTTGGTTAATGCAGAAAGTGCGGTGCATTGGTAGCTGGGCTGTGATAGTGCGTTGGTGTCAAAAGGCACTTACACCTCGCTGAGTGGAATGGCGGGTCCTTGGCAGGCCTCACTTCGCATTCTTCATATCTTTTGTTGCTGCTTCCTCTATGCGCATAAATAAGTACCTCTGCTAATTGTATGTCAATTCTCATGGCTCATTGCATTTAATCTTAGTCTGCTTGTTGCGTCTTTTTTTCTTTGCTCTGTTATTTTATGATATTATTTATCTTGGGTCGCAGTTTGCTGTTCTTGTTTTGGGGGCACTCTTTGTGTAATTGGTTATTTTCCTTTTCTAAGCTCACTATATAGTGCGACTCCGTATCTATTTCTGTGACTACTTTTTTATTCCGTTCAATTTCACAGTGTAGTTTCTTTAGTTTGACACAGATATTTTTATCTGTTTTTGACCAACGTGAGACTGTTATTAGTATGAAGTAGCAAAAGGAACTGGCAGAACTACAAAACGTCCCCTCCAAGCCGACCAGCACTAAAGATGTATTTGTACTTTGCGCAGGGAAGCTCAGTTTATCTTTAATATCTTCAATGATTGAAAATCCGGACGTGTTCTGTATTGCCGACTATCCCCATCGGGCTGTGCCAACCAATATGTTGAAGAATACTCCTGATGAGAACGATCGATTGTTGGCGCCATGGTATGTGAAGAGTTCTATCACAAACCATCTGAAGTGCTCGTTGGGCAGCGTTCAGACTTCCCGATTACGCGCAGTCGAAAGCGCATGTAAAGCGCTCTTAGGCTGCGTTTATACTTTGCGGCAGCGTAGCGTAGCGTAGCGTAGCGTAGCGCAGCGTAGCGTAGCGCTTCCAGCGTACGCCAGCGGCAGTGCCGAAGAGAGGATGCATATCGATCTAGCTTCACCAGCGTCACCAGCGGCACGCTGGCGTACGCTAGCGGCACGCTAGCGTACGCCGTCTCCAGCGTTTCACCAGCGTTTTGCTAGCGTTTGCAGCGGCAGGGGAGTAGAGACTATGGGAGAGCTGGAGGGTACAAAACACATCGATTGCCCGTATCTCACTCGCCCTTAGTCTCTACAATGCACATCGCTTCTGCGTCTTCGACGGGCACATAGTCTCTACAATGCACATCGCTTCTGCGTCTTCGACGGGCACATAGTCTCTACAATGCACATCGCTTCTGCGTCTTCGACGGGCACATAGTCTCTACAATGCACATCGCTTCTGCGTCTCCGACGGGCACATAGTCTCTACTCCCTGCCGCTGCAAGCGCTAGCAAAACGCTGGTGAAACGCTGGAGAAACGCTAGCGTACGCTAGCGTGCCGCTAGCGTACGCCAGCGTGCCGCTGGTGACGCTGGTGAAGCTAGATCGATATGCATCCTCTCTTCGGCATTGCCGCTGGCGTACGCTGGAAGCGCTACGCTACGCTGCGCTACGCTACGCTACGCTACGCTACGCTGCCGCAAAGTATAAACGCAGCCTCAATCGATAGCGCAGCCGCAGACGGTTTAATCGTTCGACGCCAACCGCTTGTCTTGATAGAGTAGAGGCTAGCAGGAGGATAGGCCTTCACCGTCTTGTACCCCCTTCTCTTTATCTATTCTCTCCCAAACCTCTGCCCATCGATATAGTCTCCGACTGTGTTCCCGTCTGTAGCATTGGAGCGCCATAGCGGTGGTAACGCGTCATCGCGAAATCTGAACGTTCCTGATGCCGTTGCTGTTCAGGTGTTGTGTGGAATTGACGGAGTTATTGTTGGCCATGGCTGGTGAACAGAATGTGCAAACCGCAGCCATCCGACTGCTGCATGGAGCGCTTGAGAAATGGCCAGACGTGGTGTTGTTAGCGTTGTTTCAAGTTCCGGTGAGTTTTTGAGAACTTATTAATGTGAACTGAATATTCTCCGAATTATAAAACTATGCAAATAATAGCCCATTTCCCGAAGAAATGCGAAATCGTTAGGCTCTGTACTCTAGTTCGCTGCGTATGCGGGGGGGGCTTGTCAACTACTGTGAGTGTACCATGGCTCCAAACCGTTCTCTGCCAGTTGTTTGAGCGGGTGTGCGGCAAAGATTGGTAGAAAAAGTATGATGCACTAGCTCGCTTCAACAGCTAGTGGAGAACGGGTTTGGCATCACGCTCAACTCATCTCGCCAGGCACGCCTCTTCGTCAGCAGCGAATTGGACTCTATGGGATGTTGCGCGGTTGGTTCTCCACTACTAGAAAGCCGCTCATCAAAAAAGGAAAATATTTCAGAGCGCGTTCATACTTTGCGTCAGTTTTCGCAACAGCGTACGCTCAAAAGGCTTGATCCATAATTTTCTAGTCGCTGCAAACGCTGGCGCACGCAGATGTACGCTCAAGACGTTGCGGTACGCTCAGAACGCTGACACAAAGTATGATCGCACCCTCATGATGGCCGTTGGGTTGGGTGCGGGGATATTTACCCTCCATATCCGGGAGAGGGGGAGGGTGTGACTGCGTAACTTATTTGATTGTAGCGGTGGCTGGGCTTTCGGTGGGATGCTGTCATTTCGAAGCATTGTGATCATGTGTGTCCAGCACAAGAAGAATTAGAGCTTAAATGGAAATATGCCACGAAAAAACGCTTCTAAACTATGCTCCAATGATGTACGTGGCCACGCCTTCCCCGTTTCTGGAATATGAGGCGTAAATACAAAAAGGGATTTCTATAATGTTTTCTTTCTTTGCAGTACTCACGGATGAACAGAAAACCTTCCAACTGGGTACCTTCGTCAGTAGTAGGTTCTTCTTGAGGGATCA